GCCTTCGGCCTCATCAACTATCACCTCATAGAAATCTCAAGCTCATAATGTAATAATATTATTGTTAATTAGTTAAGACTGTTTACATATTTTTGTTAAACAAACAGCTATAACAGGATGCTGAGAATAAAGGGTCTCCGATGGGAGTTTGGAACAGTTTTACCTGATGAAATCAAGTATAATTTATGTGAACAAGAGGTTGGTGAACTTAATAATTATCATAACCCTTTTCCCAGATGAAGAATATTCCATTGACAGCATTTTTACGTAAGAAGTGGAGTTTGCATCAGGCAAGTGTCCCAAAGAAGCTATTCCAATTTCTATGTTCCCTCCTTGAAAAGGTACTAATTTATTGCAAGGTTACCCCCAGTTACCCATGTATTCAGATGGGTGTAGTAGCAGTGAGGGGACACAGAGAGACAAAGCATCTTTCCTAACCACACATTGCATTTTGTCCCTGAAGACAGCTTGGAGTCCAACATGCTACCCAATAGCCCTACAGCATCTACATTGTATGCCCAGCTTTGCTTGTCCAGTGATGGTAGTCTCAGACACACTATATGTCAGTTACATTTAGAAATTGTGAGACTGATCTGCTACTAGCATTAGGCTAATCCATAGTTAATAGAGGGGAATGGTTATGAAACTTGACAAAGTTCTTTGTTGTGTGTTTTTGTTCCCTTTTTAGGCCTTGCACAAAACACAATAGTAGTTTACTCCGAAAAACAATGTTGATTTTTCTATTAATTTCTTAGACTGCACAGACCACAGCACCTCCACAACATTGAATTGGGGGGCCAGAGGTATTAGAGAATTAATGCTAGATGCAAATAGAATAGAATAAGTGCTTAAATATCGAAAAGTGTCATTTTCTAAAAGTATCTCAACTACTTTTGTCGCCCATTGTAGTTTTGTCTCTAGCAGGAAAAGGGATTAATAGAGGAAGAGTGGGACCCAGCCCATTTTCCTTTTGCTCATCTCATCTTTTCCTTCACTCCTGAAATGCTATGGCAAATGCAAAATTTTTGAAACGTTAAAATGATGCAAATTAGGGATAGAAACACCCCTCTCGCTACTAGGTCGTTCTTCTTTGCGTATACGCAGTGCACGCTAGGAAAAGAAAGAGACTTCTGGCAGTCTACTTTGAGCTGGCTATCCTTTTTTCAATTTGCAGTCTACTTAATATTAAGATTCTTATTTGATTTGGCAGGATATGAAGCCACCGAAATCACTCTACATAGAGGTATGTGAGTTTATGCTAGTCAGACAACATACAAATTGTTACTTGGCTCTCAAGAATCAGGAATAAAACAAATTAAACAGTTGACTGTCAATAGTTTATTTACTTAACAACCTAGAGTGATTTCTTTGTTATGTTCTAAAGCACCAAGCTGGTGAGCCAAGTGGGAAATGACCTTTTTTCAAACTAGGCCTATTATTTGCAACTTCACTGGATAAGCATTTTTTTAATTAACAAATCTAATTATAACATAGCCTGTTAATCTGTACAGTTTGAATCAGTAGTGCAAGCATGAATCCATAATACGACATGTATGAAGTTTAATTTAGTTACAAATGTATATGAATTATTTCATATAAACTTCACATCAAAGTATCTCAGTTACAATGTATGTGTACTTGGCAGGTTCGATGTCTGGAAGACTACGGAGAGTTTGAAACAGAGGATGGAACAGTTGTTTTATTGAAGAAGAATAGTCAGGTAAGGAAAAGCACATTTTACGGTGAGAAAAAACAAAGAACTTATTGTTTTGGTGAAATCCTGATTCCTCTAAAGAAGCCTGGATTGAACTCCTCGAAAAGTTGTTTCCTTGGATTTGTTCAATATAATTTTACCCTCAACAGAGCATTTTCACAAGGCGTCACAGCAGCACATTGTTGTACAAAAACAATGAAATGGCGGTCATGTTGGTGTACCAAACCAGTCCTGTGGGAGTTGAAATCTTTTGTTATGCTAACACTTTTTTTGTTGGAACAAATTTGCATGGCGGCAGGCCATGTGAGTGAAAATGCTCTTGACTACATCTCACACACTAAATTTTTTGGACCAATTTTTGTCTGAAATGTTGTGGGTGGATATCTGATTGACACGTATACCTGTGCGAACTTATCATTAATGCTTTACTTTATAATTAATAATATAAGCAAACAATAAAAGCTATTTTTGACACAATAAATTAACAGCAGATCTTAAGGAAGATACCTGTCCCCTTTTGAACCAGAGAGGGCTCACCTGCATCACCCCCTTAACCTTTTTTCAAGGAAGAACCGTCCCATCCTCCATTTTACACCCCCCACCCACCCCACCCCCTAATACCTCTTTTAAGCATTTGTGGATTTTGGTCTACCTCTGTCAAATGAATGCATACATGCTTCAATTGATATTTCTACTGTCCTTCTTTCAGCATTTCCTACCAAGATCTCACTGTGAACATCTCATCAGACAAGGAATTCTAGAACACATTCTGTAGAGTATGAGACCTACCCCATCTTGGGGGAATCCACTCTATTTAAAACATAATTAATTTTGTACAGCTCATATGTACAAAAAGACAATCGTAGGGATGTTTTGGACTACTATTAGGGTAAATTCAATGTGTTAAAATTCTAACATTGCTTTGAGGGTTAAGAGATAAAATAAAAGAATTCACATTAAGTTTGAGCCATAAGTAAATGTATTCTCTTGTTTTAGTCCCCTAAGCCTTGGCATTATGTTATACTGAAATTGGCCTCTTCCAGGAACATACATGTGCATACCACTGCAGTTAGTTGTAAGACCCTCAAAGAAGTTTCTTTTTACTTGTACAATTTGTTAATTTGGTCACTTGGATCGTAGTGCATCAAAGAAACCAAAGAATCCACTCTGGGCAAGGATTCTTTGGTTCCTTTGATGCACCATGATCTGAATGATCTTGAATTAATCTGCTTTGTGAATAAATGCAAAATTCTTTTTTGGATTGAAGAATCCACTCTTGGATTCTCCCAAAGAAATGTTTCCTTACTATCAGAAGGCATATTTCACCCTGTTTAAAACAATTCAATATTGAAATACAAATAATCTGAGATTCAAAAGAAATGGAAAATAAACAAACCTTAATTTGCATCAGGTACCTGTTCATTTTCTTTGTATCCTTTATTTTAGCTCAAGAACACTCTGCATCTATGTATTGATTAAATAGAGCTATTTGAGTACTTGATGTGTCCCAGGGAAGGCAGGAATTTGCATCACATTGCTGATATTGGTGTTGGAAATATAACACTATATGGGAGGGGTAGGTGGGTAACCGATGAACAAGTTGCCTTGATTTCATCATTGTACAAGTACAACACATTAAGAGACATTTCGTTGCGAATCAAAACAATGCCTTTAAAAGGATTACTGTGTTTGAAGGTGAGTATCAAGTCTTACCCATGAAAATCTAGTCACTTGTACATTAAGTTTGAGGGCAATTTGATTATTTTTCCCATCTCTTTTGAGATGCATCTCTTTTTGCTTAATTGTTTAGTTTTTATTTGTATATCTAGTTTGCATCTTGAATAAATTATTAAAGTAGGTATGTATGTTATCTTCCCTCGTATGTACTGTGGGTGGGGTATTGAGAAGGCCATTTGAACACCATTTTTTGTGCACGGGGAATTATGGGAAGTTTCAAAATATTTTATTTCCGCCTTTACTTTTACATAGGCTGCCCAAGCAAATACTTGGCTTGTATAGCATAATTTCCAACGGCGTCTTGCAAACGTTTATAAAT